TATGAAGCTCCTTCATATCTGTTAACCCTAGGCAAACATGAATCTATTTTCCTGTCTCCATAGATTTGCCTTTTCTGGACATTTCATATATGTACAATCATATAATATATAACCTTTCATGCGTGGCTTTTTTCACTTAGCATAATGTTTTGAAGTTCATTCGTGTTATAGCTCATGTAAGTATTTTACTCTTTTTTTTATTAGGATTTGTCTTCCATTAAGGATCTCCTACATTTTGTTTATCCCTTCACCGGTTGATGGACATTTGGCCTGTTTCCACTTTTTGGCTATTATGAATAATGCAGCAACACTTGTACGTTATTATGAATAACGCACAAGTGTTTGTGTGCACATATGTTTTATTTCTCTGGAGTAGATCCGTAGGAATGGAATTGCTGAGTTGTATAAAAAATTATACTTAACCTTTCAAGCAACTAAAAAATGGTTTTCTGGCCAGGCGCGGTGGCTCACACTTGTAATCCTAGCACTTTGGGAGGCCTAGGCAGGTGGATCACCTGAGGTCAGGAGTTCGAGATCAGCCTGGCCAACATGGCAAAACCCTGACTCTACTAAAAATAAAAAAAAATTAGCCAGGCATGCTGGTAGGTGCCTATAATCCCAGCTGCTCAGGGGGCTGAGGCAGGAGAATCGCTTGAACCTGGGGGGCAGAGGTTTCAGTGAGCTGATATCATGTCAATTCACTACAGCCTAGGCGAAAGGGCGAAACTCCTGTCTCAAAATAAATAAATAAATAAAAAATAAAAAATGGTTTTCCAAAATGGTTATATACTAACTCACATTCCCACAGGTAAGGAATGAGAATTCTTGTTTCACTACTTCCCTGCTACCACGTGTTACTGTTTGTCTTTTTGATTATAGCCTTCCTGGTGGATGTGAAATGGTATCTCATTATGTTTTAAATTTGCATTTCCTTAATGACTGACAATATGAAGCATCTTTTCATTTGCCATTTGTATATCTTCTTTGAAAAATGTCTGTTGAGGCCCCGGGCGCGGTGGCTTACGCCTGTAATCCCAGCACTTTGGGAGGCCGAGGCGGGTGGACCATGAGGTCAGGAGATCGAGACCATCCTGGCTAACACGGTGAAACCCCGTCTGGTACAAAAAATTAGCCGGGAGTAGTGGCGGGCGCCTGTAGTCCCAGCTACCCGGGAGGCTGAGGCCGGAGAATGGCGTGAACCCGGGAGGCGGAGCTTGCGGTGAGCCGAGATCGCGCCACGGCACTCCAGCCTGGGCGACAGAGTGAGACTCCGTCTCAAAAAAAAAAAAAAAAAAAAAGCAGAAAAAAGAAAGTTACAGTTGAAACTGAGAAGTGAGAGTGTGGGTAGGTAGAACAGGCGATCTCTTCAATCACAGTTATTGCACTTTTCAGAATAGAGGTAAGGACATCCTTGGGCAGTAGCTTTCCTGGTTTCCATGTTGACCACTCCCAGCCATCATAGGGAAGGTACATAGCAAATTGATGTGAACGCAATCCCAAAAAGAAAAAAGACAAATGTCTATTGAAATCTTTTGCTCATTTAAAAATGGAGTCTTTTTAAAGAGTTCTTTGTATATTCTGGGTACAAGTTTTTTTGCAATGTATGTGATTTGCAAATACTTTCTCCTGTCTGTGGCTTTTCTCTCCCTTCCCTTCCCTTCCCTTTCTTCCCCTCCCCTCCCCTCCCTCTCTTTTCTTTCTTTCTTTCTCTCTTCTCTTTTCTTTCTCCTTCCTTCCTTCCTTTCTCTCTCTCTTTCTTTCTTTCTTTCTTTCTTTCTTTTTTCTTTCTTTCTCTTTCTTTCTTTTTCTCTTTCTTTCTCTTTCTTTCTTTCTTTCTTTCTTTCTTTCTTTCTTTCTTTCTTTCTTTCTTTCTTTCTTTCTTTCTTTCTTTCTTTCTTTTTCTTTTCTCTTTTTCTTTCTTTCTTTCCTTTCCTTCTTTCTTCTTCTTCTTCTTCTTTTTTTTTCTCTGTCGCCCAGGCTGGAGTGCACTGGCACAATCTTGGCTCACTGCAACTTCCGCCTTCCAGGTTCAAGTGATTCTCCTGCCTCAGCCTCCTGAGTAGCTGGGATTACAGGTGCCCACCACCACACCTGGCTAGTTTTTGTGTTTTTAGTTTTTGCCACGTTGGCCAGGCTCGTCTCCAACTCCTGATTTCAAATGATCTGCCCCCCTTGGCCTCCCAAAGTACTGGGATTACAGGCATGAGCCACCTTGCCTGGCTGCTTTTCATTACCTTAATGGTGTCTTTTGAGTGCAAATGTTATTTCTTAAAATACATTTTATTTTCCACTCTGTGCAACATAGCAAGACCCCCTTCTCTACAATTCAAAAAAAATTGGCCAATTATGGTGGCATGTGCCTTTAGTTTCAGCTACTTGGGAGGCTGAGGCAGGAGGATCACTTGAACCCAGGAGTTCAAGGCTGCAGTGAGCTATAATCACACCACTGCACTCCAGCTTGGGTAACAGAGTAAGGTCCTCTCTCTAAAGAAAGAAAAGAATACCTTTTTATTTGGAAATAATCAAGGGTTCACAGGAAATTGCAAGAATGGTAGAGAGATGTCCCACGTATCCTTCACCCAGTTCCTCCTCAACCCCAAAATAATGAATTTTGGTTAAGTCAAATTTGTTAATTATTTTTCTTTTATGGATCATGCTTCTTAGGTCATATCTAAAAAGCCTTTGATGAACCCAAGGTTTTACCATTTTCTCATATGCTTTATTCTAAATTTTTATAGCTTCAGCTCTTACATTAATGTCTCTGGTTCATTTTGAATGAAGTTTTGTATAAGGTGTAAGGTAAGGGTCTAAGTTAATCTTTTTTTTTGTATGTGGATATCCAATTGTCCCATTATCATTTGTTGAAAAGATACTATTTTCTCTATCTATGACACAGAGTTTTGCTCTGTTGCCCAGGCTGGAGTGCAGTGGCATGATCTTGGCTCACTGCAACCTCCACCTCCCAGGTTTAAGAGATTCTCCTGCCCCAGCCTCCTGAGTAGCTGGGATTACAGGCGCATGCCACTACACCTGGCTAATGTTTGTATTTTTAGTAGAGACGGGGTTTCACCATGTTGGCCTGGCTGGTCTTGAACTCCTGAACTCAAGTGATCCACCTGCCTCAGCCTCCCAAAGTGCTAGGGATTACAGGAGTAAGCCACCGTGCCTGGCCTTATTTTCTCTATCAAACTGACTTAGCACCTTTGTCAAAAATCAATTAACCATAAATATTAGAGTTTATTTCTGGACTCTCAAATCTGTTCCTTTAATCTATATATTTATATCTTGTATTAGTACTAAATGGTCTTGATAACTTTAGCTTTATAGTAAGTTTTAAAATTAGGAAGTAGAAGTTTTCCAACTTTGTTTTTAAAAAATTATTTGCTATTCTGGGTCTTTTCAATTCCATATACACTTTGGGTACAGCTTGTCAATTTCTGCAAAAACCCTGCTGGAATTTTGATGAAGACTAAGTTTAATGCATGCATCAATTTGGGGAGAATTGTTATCTTAACAATATTGAATGAATTTTCCAATGATCATGGAATGTCTCTCCAATTATTTAGATCATCTTTAATTTCCCCCAGAATGCTTTGAAATTTTCAATGTACAAGTTTTATAATTCTTTTGCTAAATTTATTTGTATTTTATTCTTTTTAATACCATTGTGAATGGAATTTTCTTGTTTTCATATTGTTCATTGCTCATATACAGAAATACCATATACCTTTTTTTTTTGAGATGGGGTCTCACTTTGTTGCCCAGGCTCCAGTGCAGTGGTTATTCACAGGCAAGACCACATTGCACTATAGCCTCAAACTCCTGACCTCAAGTGATCCTCCTACCTCAGCCTCCCAAGTAGCTGAGACAAAAGTTATGGGCCATCTCCACTGAGCCCAGCCTTCAGTGTATTTTTGCATATTGATATTGCAACCTGCAACCTTGCTGAACTTATTAGTTCTAACATGTGTGTATATTCCTGAGGGTTTTCTGCATAAAGAACCATGTTATCTGCAAATAAAGACTTCCTTTCTAATCTGGATGCCTTTTATTTTTACTTCTTGTATGGTTGCCCTGGCTAGTACATCCAGTATGATGTTGAATAGAAGTTGCAAGAGCTGACATGCTTGCATTATTCCTGATCTTAGGGTAAAATAATTCAGTTTTTCATCATTAAGTATGATATTAGCTGTAGGTTTTTCATAGATGCCTTTATCATGTTCTCTTTCAAGTTTGAGAATTTTTATTATGAATTGGATTTTGTCAAATGCTTTTTCTGCATTTATTGAGATGATAGTGTAACCAAGGAATTGTGAAAAAAGATGAGAATATGGTTTTGATACTTTATTAATATAGTATGTTATGTTAATTGATTTTAGGATATTAAACCATCTGTGCATTCCTGGGATATCAGTTGGCCAGAGTATATAATCCCTTTTATATGTTGCTGGATTCAGGATCAAACTGAATTTTAAAAATATACTGACTTTGGAAGAAATTCAGAAATTTGTTAAGTGAAGTGGCCTCCTTATAAAAATCTTGATGGTTTTAATGATATTCTTAAAAATTAGAAAGTTCAGGCCGGGCGCGGTGGCTCAAGCCTGTAATTCCAGCGCTTTGGGAGGCTGAGACGGGCGGATCATGAGGTCAGGAGATCGAGACCATCCTGGCTAACACGGTGAAACCCCGTCTCTACTAAAAAATATAAAAAACTAGCTGGGCGAAGTGGCGGGCGCCTGTAGTCCCAGCTACTCGGGAGGCTGAGGCAGGAGAATGGTGTGAACTCGGGGGGCGGAGCTTGCAGTGAGCTGAGATCCGGCCACTGCACTCCAGCCTTAGCGACAGAGCGAGACTCCATCTCAAAAAAAAAAAAAAAAAAAAAGAAAGTTCAAATATCAATATCTTTTGTCATTAGGACTAATAACCCAAAAGCTTCAAAAATAATTATATTAAGTATAATTAATATGCCAATTAACAATGTAGAATGTTTTCAAACTATGAAGTTTTTAAACATGCAAATATTTTATTGACTTAAATAAGGGAAAGTCTGTTAGCTTTTGTGAAAGTTCATTCATTTCTTAATGATGTTTTTCAAGACCAGTATTTATTTTATTTCACCATTACAATTATAGACTAATCTCATAATCTTTCTAAACATAAAAATTCAGACAGTTTACATTACGAAATTTGTATGTATGTATGAATGTATGTATGTATGTATGTATGTATATATTTAGATGGAGTTTTGCTCTTGTTGCCCAGGCTGGAGTGCAATGGCGCATTCGTGGCTCACCACAACCTCTGCCTCCCGGGTTCAAGTGATTCTCCTGCCTTAGCCTCTCGAGTAGCTGGGATTGTGGGCATGGGTTACCACACCCAGCTAATTTTTTGTATTTTTAGTAGAGACGAAGTTTCACCATGTTGGTCAGGCTGGTCTTGAACTCCTGACCTTTGAGGCTGGGATTACAGGCGTGAGCCACCGTGCCCAGCATGAAATTTTAATAGCTAGTCTTCGTTTTGAACAGTGAACATTATAGATCTATCCCCCAATTCATCCTTTTTTTTCAAAATGAGTTTATAAAGGTCTCTCTCTTTTTCACAAGCTAGAAAGTATCCTTCGTATGATGAAGATTCAAATTGCATCTTATTATCATGTCCTGGGACACTTCTCTGAAAGAATATGATGTCACTTTTCGTATCCTTGATGTTATCAGGAGGATTCATTTCCTATAGAGAAAAAAACATTACCTATTTATTTCAGGACATGAACAATTTGAATATATGAAGTTTGTTTTGAAGTATGTTACTGAACAGAACAAAAGTAGTTTTGCTTCTCAGGAGTTACATAAAAAAATCTCTGAACAGCAATACTGACCTCCTCTCCTTCTTAACTCCGAATCTCCTATTCTCCCTGTCATGGGATGCATATTCAGGTCCAGGACTCTAGCTTTCCTCTGTCCATTAAACAGCTTACTTCTCTCCTCTCCCATTGAGTGGTGTCCACATTTGCTCAAGATGAAGTAGAGTTCCAGCAAAGAGCAGAAGCTTTTTGGGCTAATGTCAGTTCCTGTCCTCTATAACCATTCATAACTAAAGACATTGATGACCTCCTCCCACAAATTTAGGCTAGTTCTAGTTTCCTTTTATTTTTGCTTTGAGACAGGGTCTCGCTCTGTTGCCCAGCCTGAAGTGCAGTGGTGAAATCATAGCTCACTGCAGCCTTGAACTCCTGGGCTCAAGCAATCCCCCTGCCTCAGCCTCCTGAGTAGCTGGGACTGTAAGTATGCACCACCACATTTGGCTCATTTGTAAAATTTATTTTTGTAGAGAAGGGGTCGGGGGTATCTCACTTTGTTGCCTAGGCTGGTCTGGAACTCCTGGCCTCAAGTGATCCTCCCACTTTGGCCTCTCAAAGTGCTGGGATTCCAGGTGTAAGCCACCATGCCTAGCCTGGCCAGTTCTCCTTTCTGAGCCAACTGTGAGAGAGACAGGAAGTGCCAGGAATCTTAACTTACTCTTTCAGTGGAGCCTGAAATTAAAACTGATGGTGAATAGACCCAATACTTGTTGTAGGGCTAGGCCCTGGGTTCCTGTATAAAACTGCTGTATTGGCTCAGTTGGCAGTCCTTGACTCTGTCTCCCTGCCAAGTACTCCAGTTCCATGGTAGTCTTGAACTTCTGTCCTGAATATGGTCTACTTGGCTGGGCCCTGCCCTAGAAGGCCAAATGCAGATTCCTGTATGTTTCAGTTACAGAATAGGGTCCTGTGAGAAATGGGTAGATTACTTGAAACTATAATCTTGCAGGTTATCCAACTGGTAGTGCTGCCTGCACTTTTCCTGTTAGTGCAGCATGTCTATTTTGCAGGATGGATCAGAACATGTGGGCACCACCTATGTTTCTTCCATGTTAATCCTGGAACCAGTAGATGTTTTGGATTTAATTTTGGCCTCATGGCAGCACAGATTCCCATGATCCCAAGCACTGATAGAGAAACCTCCAGAATTAAAATAGCATTTCTTCATCCTCCTAAGATGCCTGAAAGACTCTGGGCGGTGGAGGCTGGGGAGTTACCTCCAACTTCTCAATCAGTTGTGGAATCGATAGTCATAATTCTTGACCTTTGTTCTTCACCAACAAGTGTGGGTCCTAAGTTGATGAAAGTATAAACTAGTTTCCCTTTTGGCACCCACTTCTGCAGCTGTCTACAATATACCACAATTTAGGAAGAGACCCTAAGCTGTGGGCATCAATTTGGAACTAATCTGAAATCTAATGCATAAGTGAGAAATAATCCATAGCCAAAACTTCAAAAGCTCTAGTAACATTACAGAGGAAGATGAACCAGTATAGAAAGTTACAGTTGAGCCAGGTGCGATGGCTCACGCCTGTAATCTCAGCACTTTGGGAGACCAAGACGGGCAGATCACGAGGTCAGGAGATCGAGACCATCCTGGCTAACACAGTGAAACCCCGTCTCTACGAAAAATACAAAAAATTAGCTGGGCGTGGTGGTGGGTGCCTGTAGTCCCAGATACTTGGGAGGCTGAGGTGGGAGAATGGCGTGAACCCAGGAGGCAGAGCTTGCAGTGAGCCGAGATCGTGCCACTGCACTCTAGCCTGGTCAACACAGCGAGATTCTGTCTCAAAAAAATAAATAAATAAATAAAATAAAATAAAATAAAATAAATAAAAAAGAAAGTTACAGTTGAAACTGAGAAGTGAGAGTGTGGATAGGTAGAACAGGCGATCTCTTTAATCACAGTTATTGCACATTTCAGAATATAGGTAAGGACATCCTTGGGCAGTAGCTTTCTTAGTTTTGATGTTGACCACTCCCAGCCATCATAGGGAAGGTACATAGCAAATGGATGTGAAAGCAAATCCCAGTGACCTTGGAGAACCCCCAACTTGGAAAGCCCTACCTGGTGAAACTTGAGTGCTCCAAGGGGCAAAGGATTTTTTTTTTTTTTTTTTTTTTTTTACTTCAGAAGGGGTTGAATCTGAATCCAGGGAAAGTTGATATTGACCTAAGATCTCCCAAGTGCACTGGAAAGTCTGAGGGAACCCTGGCCAAGCCTGGATATAGATACATATATACATATATATGTATATATATGAAACAGACACTGACAGTAACCTCTCAAAGCAAATCCCTCTTTGTGTTGTCAAGGTTCTTGACCAAAGAACTTTATAGGACTTTATAGCTAGTAATCAACAGTGAAAGGTGAGTACATTAGGGCAGCCAGTTGTATCTTTTTATCTTTTTTTTTTTTTTTTGAGATGAAGTCTCAATTCTGTCACCCAGGCTGGAGTGCAGTGGTGCGATCTCGGCTCACTGCAGCCTACGCCTCCTGAGTTCAAGCGATTCTCCTGCCTCAGGCTCACAAGTAGCTGGGATTACAGGTGCGTGCCACCATGCCTGGCTAATTTTTGTTTTGTTTTGTTCTGTTTTTAGTGGAGACAGGGTATCATCATGTTGGCCAGGCTGGTCTTGAACTCCTGATCTCAAGTGAGACATTCGCCTTGCCCTCCCAAAGTGCTAGGATTATAGGCATGAGCCACTGTGCCTGGCCTGTTGTATCTTATTATCTAGAACCTAGGCCACTTTTATAACCACTGCCACTTACTAGTGGCAGGAAAAGAGATTAAAGACAAGGGCTAAAACTGGTCCTAGTCCACCCCTCGCTCTCTCCCTCCCTCCAATATTTACTGAGTTCCTTCCAGAAGCACATTTGCTATGATGCTGATGAAGCTTCAATGTCAGATTCCCTCATTTGCACAGATCTCTTCAAGCCACCCCTCACCCACCCTTTTTAAAAGTTGAATTAAATTATTAAGCTTACGCCTTTGGTAATTTTACATTCTTTTTTTTTTTTTGAGACCGAGTTTCGCTTTTGTTGCCCAGACTGGAGTGCAATGGCACGATCTCGGCTCACCGCAACCTATGCCTCCCAGGTTCAAAAGAGTCTCCCACCTCAGCCTCCCGAGCAGCTGGAATTACAGGCATGCGCCACCACGCCCAGCTAATTTTGTGTTTTTAGTAGAGATGGGGTTTCTCCATGTTGGTCAGGCTGGTCTTGAACTCCTGAATTCAGGTGATCTGCCCACCTCGGCCTCCCAAAGTGCTGGGATTACAGGCATGAGCCACCGTGCCCAGCCACGTTCTTTTTCTTTAAAAGGACCATCAAAATTGTATAAGCTTCAGGCTCCCCCAAATATGGATTTGCCCAGTTCCTACTAAGTGCCAAGCATTATTTCCATCTTCTTAACCTTGTCACCAGTCTCCCCCAACAAGAATCCACCTGTAGGTTCGGACTTACCCCAGTTTCTGAATCTGCCCCTGCAGCTGAGTTTTCCTCTATCCCACATGGTTTGAGCTTGGCCATCTCCTTCCCTTCTAATTATGTTGCTCAGTAACAGCATGCTTAACCCCTTGCACCCTACCCTTCCATCCCAGGCGTCTTATGCCATTTTGATAACTAAGCTGCCTGCCTATCAGGTCTAGAATGGGGACTCCAAATTGTCACCTGAAGGGGTGGCACTCTGGTTGGAAGGAGATAGCTGAGGGATTTGTCTGGGTGCTGTATCTGTTGCATATGCACTGTTCTCACTTGGATTATATTTTGGAGTGGCTTTTTTCTCCCTCCCAAATTGCCCCTTGGTACCTTCACTAAGGTCATATCCTAACTGTCTTTTAGTGGGGACTGGGTGGGCATGAAAGTAGTTATTTACTGGCAAATCTCCACTCAAAAAGAGTCTTCATGACATGGAATTCTCCTCTGAAGCATTGCCAATTTCTAAGCATCCCTGGCTACTCTTACTGGGAGGAAATTTTTCTAGCTCAGTCTGTAGCTATAATTAATTGTGGTTTATCTAACAATAATGGAGGAAATAGAGAAAAATAATAGAGAATAATAGAGAAAAAGTAGAGGCCAGAAATACTTTATACCTGGCTTTCAGATTATTATAGCATTGCTTTTACAGCTGATCTCATAAATTTTATTCAATTAGATTAACATTAAAAATAACATACATCAACTGGAAGCTGAAGCTTGTGTTTGAGACTTAGACTAAGGATCAGGAACAAAACAACTACAGATTAAAATAGTATTATGATTTCCAAAGGAGTAGAAATATAGAAGGATAATTAGCTTCATTCTTCATAGCAGAACTTATTCTGGAAAGTCACATGTTATTCTTAAATGTATAACTCACATATGTGTTCTATATTATTATTTGTATAAAGACTGATTATTCAGGAGATGCAGGTCATAAAACAAGTATTGTATCTCCTCCTCCCTGTGACAGGCTCAGAAAAACCATCGTTATCACGGTAGGTAAAGAGTTTGGGGCCGGGCGCGGTGGCTCAAGCCTGTAATCCCAGCACTTTGGGAGGCCGAGACGGGCGGATCACGAGGTCAGGAGATCGAGACCATCCTGGCTAACACAGTGAAACCCCGTCTCTACTAAAAAATACAAAAAACTAGCCGGGCGAGGTGGTGGGCGCCTGTAGTCCCAGCTACTCGGGAGGCTGAGGCAGGAGAATGGCGTAAACCCGGGAGGCGGAGCTTGCAGTGAGCTGAGATCCGGCCACTGCACTCCAGCCTGGGCGACAGAGTGAGACTCCGTCTCAAAAAAAAAAAATAAATAAATAAAAATAAAAATAAAAATAAAAAAAAGAGTTTGATACTTTTTAGTAAGTATTCATTTTAATGGTTCTCTGCTTCTTGTTATTTCTGTTTTAGGCAAAAGGTTGGTCTGAGGATATTTGAGTTTTCTAATTATATTATTTATATTAACATTAGAAATAATGTTATATTTCTAATTATATTAATTATATTAACATGATTGAAAACAAAGGAAGGCTCAGTCTTACCTTAAAGGAAATAATTCTGTTCTCACAGGAGAGAGTTGAAATTTTCTCACATTTCACAGAGATGGCTACAGCCATACCTCTAGGCTGGCTATCTTTATACATATTTATAATAAATATGGTCCGGGGTGCATTATCTGAAATAAATACGATAAATGAGAACTCTAGTTAGAAGAATTTTTGCACAGGAACATTTGTGGAAATTTAACCAAAGGATAGTCCTTAATACACCTGTTCCCACTTTGAGACTTGGCCAGTCTGCAGGAGACTATGTACAGCTGGTCAGACATTTTTTAAAACACAGTTCAGGCCTGGCACAGTGGCTCGTACCTGTAATCCCAGCATTGAAAAGTTAAAAACAACCTTTTAGAATCCCTATCATTAAAATACTCAAAAGAGTTGCAGCATGTGCGTTGTAACACATATTAAACTGTGGGGTTGTCTGTTTGTTTGGGAGGCCGAGGCAGGCAGATCACTTGAGGTCAGGGGTTTGAGACCAGCCTGGCCAACATGGTGAAACCCCAACTCTACTAAAAATACAAAAATTAGCTGGGTGTACGTGGTGCATGCCTGTAGTCCCAGCTACTGAGGCTGGGAGGCTGAGGCATGAGAATTGATTGAACCTGGAAGCGCAGGTTGTAGTGAGCCGAGATCACACCACTGCAGTGTACTTAAGCCTGGGTGACAGAGTGAAACTGTGTCTCAAACAAACAAACAAACAAGCCCACAGTTTAATGTGTGTTACAACATACATGCTGCAACTTTTTTGAGTATTTTAAAGATATGAATTCTAAAAGATTGTTTTTAACTTGTAAATGCTAAATAAAATATTTAAAATATATGTTAAGGTAAGTATTCAGTATTTTTAAAGAACGCACATTCACTGCTTCAACTTAGCCTAACTTTGGTATTTGGAATTCATATTTTGGAAGGCACAGTAGACTTGATCATTTTCTTTTTTTTTAAAGTTTTTTTAATTTAATTTTATTTTTTATTTTACAGACAAGGTCTCTATATCACCCAGGCAAGAGCGCAGTGGCTATTCACAGGCACGATCATCGTGTACGACAGTCTCAAAGTCCTGGCCTCAAGCAATCCTCCTGCATGAGCCTCCCAGGTAGCTAGGATTACAGATAGATGCCACCACACCTGGCAACTTAATCCTTTTCTATTGTACTCTAAATTTCTGGGGGAAGACAGACTCATTTGAAATGCATGTGTATTTATCTTTAATATTTTTAAAACTATCAGCATTTTCAGCTGCAACAAGCAGGGATTAAGCATCCAACTATAGAGGTTTTAAACAGTGAATACAATCACAATAAAGGGATTGGTGATTCAAAGGCAGGCTCAGAGAGGCATGACCCCTAGCAATGTCTTATTGTATCCATTTTTTTACCCCAACTAAAAAACATGGATGCCTCATAAAGTTTCTTGTAAGTGAAATTATTGTTACTCCTGTGACTTTTCATCTAAGGATTGGGACTAGCACGGAAAAATGTAAACAGTAAAACAGAATGGGAAGAAGTAGCTAGTCATTTCTACCTTTGCAAATTAAAAAAAAATACCTCTACAGTCAGAATCAGTCATATCTTCAAATAGGGGCCGATTTCCTTGGTCAATGAAGAGAACTTGGTCATTCAAATTTCTTATGATTGATAATTTAGATTCAAGCTTGCCAAAGTAATCTGATTCCAGGTTTTCTACAACAAACATGAAATCTCATTAAAAAACACAAACTTTCTTTGTTAATTGACAAATAAGTATGCTATATATTTTAGTTTTCTAAAACTATTAATGACAATCTTCTGTTCCAGAAGTAGCTACAATAAAGTTGCCTATTGCTTTTTAACCTACTCTCAAAGGCACACTCAATTTCTTGTTACCATTCAGAACTACTCTGCCACTGAAGTGTTAACTTCAAATATCCTACTTTCTGACCAGTCTCTTACTCTTTTAGTTTTCTTACACTTTTACTCCAACTCTATGTGTTCTTAAGTTTCACAACATCTTCCAGTCTTCTGACTCTTGTATTTCCTCTCTAACCTCTTCCTGTCTTCCCTTTCTTCCCTGTGCAGCTGGACCTCAGAGTTCATTTTGTCTACCATTTTGCCAGGATATTAAATCCCTAATTTATTTGTCTTCCTGCTACAAAACTCCAAACTTGGCTGCTGAGTGCTGCTGGCGAACAATGGCACAAGTGTTCGAATCGGTGCTGTTACAAGCATATCAATTGTCAATACTTCCTTTGTTTTCCAGTTCAGCACTCTCTTCCATAGTTGATAGCCGCAATTTCAAATTTTGTTTACTCTCTTCAGGACCTCTACACCATCATCTCTGTTTTCATTTTCAGCAAATGATTTCCTGCTACTCCACGTACAAATTTAACTCTGGCAGTACCAGTTATTTCCTTTCTCTCTTGTCCCAAGGGGAAATGCAAAGGTGCCATTGCTGGTATCTAAGGTTGATCCCATTTGTGCTCGGCATGTACCCTCTACTGAAGCTTTGATTTGCCAATCATCCTTTCTCTTCTATTAACCCAGCAATTCTACCTCCTGGGTTTTATCCTAAAGAAAAAGTCACACAAATGTGTGAACATTTTTGTACAGGAATGCTTATGGGAACATTGTTAATAACAATAAATTAGAAACAAACATTCACCAATTAGGAATTGATTAAATAAAAAGGGCAAAGATATGCCCTTATTGTGAAATATCATGAACTTAATATAACTGCAATTACTCGTTGCCATGGAGAGATGTCCATATATATCACTAACTAGAAAAAGCAGCTTAGCTATAGTACAATCCCTTTTAATAAAAATATAAGCATTTCTTCTATATATATATATAGAAAGAAGTGTAGAAATATTGAAATATTGCATCAAAATGGTAGCTATGATTATTTCTGGGTGGTTTTTATATTTTTATCTTCCATGTTATTATCTTTTTTCTTTTTTTTTTTGAGGCGGAGTCTCGCTCTGTCGCCCAGGCTGGAGTGCAGTGGCCGGATCTCAGCTCACTGCAAACTCCGCCTCCCGGGTTTACGCCATTCTCCTGCCTCAGCCTCCCGAGTAGCTGGGACTACAGGCGCCCTCCACCACGCCCAGCTAGTTTTTTGTATTTTTTTAAAATAGAGATGGGGTTTCACCGTGTTAGCCAGGATGGTCTCGATCTCCTGACCTCGTGATCCGCCCGTCTCGGCCTCCCAAAGTGCTGGGACTACAGGCTTGAGCCACCGCGCCCGGCCTATTATCTTTTTTCATTGCCTGAATTAGTTACAAAATGAACACATTATTTTCATAATCAAAAAAGCACAAAGCTCTTTATTTTGAGATTTAAAACTGCTCCATCAACCCAATCTCACTTTGCAGCTAGTCTTGTTTCTCTCCTCCTTTTAACAGCCAAGCTTTTAGCAAGAATTGTCTGTATCCTTTCTTCACTTTCCATTCACTGTTTCACTCATTGCAATCTGCCTCTGCCTCCATTTCGCCATCAAGCTGCTTTCACTGAGATCACCAAACTCCTTGTTGCTGAATCTAAAAGCTGTGTTCTGGCCCTTGATTCTCAAGGCTGCAAAATTCAACACAACTCCTATCCCCTCAATCTTAAAATGCTCTCCTGGGAGTCAGTGGAATTCTCTTGGTTTTTCTTCTTCCTTTTTGGTTAGTCTGCTCTCTGTTCTTTATTAGCTTCTCTTTCTACTGCATCCTTTAAATGTAGGTATTCCTCTCAGTTTAGTACTTGGCTTTTACTCTCTCACTCTACACATTTCCTCTGATTTGTCTTTTTATTTCTATAGATTCAGATGCCATTTCTATGCATAAGCCTTCAATATCTCTATCTCCAGCCCAAATCTTTGTCCTGAGCTCAGAACCACATGTAGAAGAGTTTATTGGACATCTCCACTAGGATGTTCCACAGATATCTCAGATCCAAAACTAAATGTGTCATCCATCCTCCTCTTTGAATACACCAAAACCTGCTCTTCCTCCTGTGTTTCCTATTTCATTGAATGGTACAAATTGCCCAAGTGAAAAATGTAGGCATCATCTTTTCTACTTTCTTCTCCTTTCCAAATCTAACCTTAAATCATGTCCTACTGATTCTCTCAAGTGTTTCTAAAATCCATTCACAGCTCCTCATCAGCACTCCATTATGTCTACCTTAATTTATGACACCATCATTTCTTGTAAGAACTAAAATAGCCTCTCAACCTTTAATTTTGTCCTCCTCACCCCACACCATTAATTCTTTATACCAAAGCCAGAATGATATTTTAAAAAATATATTATTTCTGAATTTTAAAGAGTCATATGGCTACCTGGAATAAAGATTATATTTTCCAGATTTCCTTGCACTTGGTGTGGTCATGTGATTAGATTCTAGTCAATGGAATATGAGGGGAATTGATGTATATAACTTCCAATTAGAGTCTTTGAAAGGAATGAGCCTGACTTCTCTTATCTTGACCCTTTCTTGATAACTGGGATATGAACCCAGGAAGTATGATGATTTTCAACTATGTGTATGAGATAAACAACTGGGGGATGATGGGTAACAAGACTGAAGAAAGTTGGGGTCCCAATATCATCAGGTTGCTTCCAGCCATACTACTTCGGAGCTGCCTACTTAGACTTTGAGAAAAAATTATCTGTCTTATTCAGCTACTGTGTCTTTGGATGTCTTTGTTACAACAAACTAATCTTTACCCTAGCTAATACATATTGTGCTTAATTAACCCTAGTATCTCCAAGATAAAGTCCAAATTTCATATCTTGGAGCAAGAGAATGTCTTGCTTTACACCCTGTTTATCACTCTAGCTTCTCTCATTATTCTCCTACTCCTACTCTACTTCCATGCTGAATTACCATGAATTCATCATAAATGCCATGGTTTCTTTCAGATCTTGGCCTTTGAATGTGGTCTTCTTGCCCCACCCATTCCTATCTCCTCTACTTCCAGAATTTTCTGCCCTCCCGTCGCCATCAATCCAGGAGCATCGCAGGCTTCTTCCCAAAGCATTTCTGAGATGAGGTGTTATTGATTTTGGACAATTCTAATGCTTCAATCCCCTTTTCCTATGCAATGCCTCCCCACCGGCAACAGAATCCATGACTCCCTGCTAATCTTAGGACCTATGAAACAGGCAAAGTCTATTTTGTACATTCTAAGAGCTGGAGAATGTTTTAAGGCGTAGAGAAGCATCTTTTGCTAGAGGTTCTTCTTTGTATCTCTTATGACCATCTTCATTCCAAAGCTGTGCTACTGAGTCCACATTCCTTTGAGGGTAGATGGCCTTTCCAAATAGATGGCTATCACATGAACCATTTTTTTCCTCAGCTGACAATGTTGATATAGATGTGTCTCAAGCAGATACTTAGTTTGCAAAGAAAAATAAATTCATTTATACTTTACCATCATCTTCAGCTAAGAGGGGGAAAAAAAGAGAAACAGAATATGTAAAATTTTGTATTTCGACTCAGAATTTCATCTCATTCTAGTTTTTACTTTTGTTACTCCTCTTTCTCAAACTCTTATTTTTATAGTAACGGTCTGTCTTGGCTTTCATCAGAATATTATATAATCATCCAAAAGGCCCATAAAATGAAGCTTATTAGACTTAGTGTGTTCTCAGGTAATTTAGACATAAAACTTAAACCCAGGGTTTAAAAATTTCAATATGTAACTAAAAATAAATTTTATAAAATGAGAGATTTTACTTTTGAATTTATTGCTTAAATGGAAAGTCATCTAAGAAAAGTCACCTAAGAATTTTTTCTGAAGGTTTTTTTTTTTTTTGACAGGGTCTACTGTCATGCAGGCTGGAGTGTAGGGGTGGGATCATAGCTCAGTGCAGGCTCGAATTCCTAGGTTCAAGTGATTTTCCTGCTTCAGCCTCTGAAGAAGGTAGGCGGTGTCCACAGGTAATTTTTTTCAATTTTTTGTAGAGATGGGGTCTCACTTTGTTGTCCAAGCTTTTAAATGAAGGTTTCAAATGAAGGCAAACTTTCAAATGAAGCCGTATTGTTCACAGAAGATTAATCATAAGAAGCAATTTTTAGGCCATGTGTGGTGGTTCATGCCTATAATCCCAGCACTTTGGGAGGCCGAGGCAGGAGGATCATCTGAGGTCAGGAGTTCAAGACCAGCCTGGCCAACATGGCAAAATGCTGTCTCTATTAACAATGCAAAAAATTAGCCAGGTGTGGTGGGATGCACCTGTAGTCCCAGCTACTCAGAAGGCTGAGGCAAGAGAATCGCTTGAACTCAGGAGGTGGAGGTTGCAGTGAGCAGAGATGAGGCTACTGCACTCCAGCCTGGGCAACAGGAAACAAAAAATGAATCAATTTTTACTTGTCAAACATATTTACATAAAATGGTATAACTCATAGAACTCTAAATTTAGAGAATCTCTTACATAATTTGCCAATTTGCTTTGGGAAATTGTATTTCCTGCATGCACCCAGTTTTGTACTGGGATTTTCCCATGAAAACTGGGATTTTCATGATGTGCACTTACTGCCACCTGGAGAGTGAGCTACTGCTAATTAAAGTGCCAGGACATGTGGTGTGACAAAGTGCTGAGACCTTGGACATGTTATGGTTAATTTCTAGAGGTCCACTATTTTTTTAAGAGCCATTAATATTACAATAAAATTTGGTGACAAAAAGAATCACTTAACAGTTCACCTCACAACATCTTTTCTAGTTAAATAGATTTATCTGAACTTGGTATTTGTTCTATGGCATTAGCCTTACCTATAAAGTAAAGCGTACTGTCAATAAATTTCATTGCCACAAAATTGATGCAATTGTCTTCTGCTGGTTCAGCAGCCATCTTTATTCCTAATGAAAGCAAAGAGCATCTGTTAAGAGACAATGATTGTACATTTTACTACTACTTTATACTACCTTCAAGTTCAGTGGTCAGTTAATCACCTAGTATACTGATGAACAATCTTGACATTTAATAAATGCCAGAAGTTTCAGCTTATGAATACCTATGTTTAAATGTTCTCTTACAAATCATCAGATATTTGGAACACAGAAAGCATTTTCTCATTAAACAATATTATATAGGGTAGATAAATGGCCCACTACTGAACTGAATCATTATTCTAGTATTCCTTGAAAAATATAAATATATTATTCAATATAAATATAGCTTCATCTGAGGATGCCAGAAACACATCTAATCCTGCCCTTTAGGAAGGACTGGCTTCATCCTTCTCTTACAACAGTGGGTTCCTGCGGGTGAGAGGCTGAAGGTTTGTGACTTCATCGTCAAAGTGCTAAAGGTGAAACAATGATTAAAAAAGTGCTTCCATCTGAGGGTACAGGCAGGGTGGGAGAAGGCTGCAGGGCTCTGGCATTTGATGGCCCTGTCTCCCTGAGCAGCAGTGGTTTTTGATCTGGAGTCTAGATTATACTATGTTTTTTAACACAAGTAATACATAAACACAATCTTGCTGTAAAATCAAGAGATACAGGATTTGAAAAAATTTTAAATCCTATTTGTTCTTCCTTTCTGCCCCTCTTTCAATATGGCGTGCAGGTTTCCAGAATTTTGTTATGGAATAGGAGTTCTCAGCGTGAGAAATCTGTGAACTTGGATGGGGAAAAAATACATATGTATTTTCACCAACTTCTGAAATTTAGCATTCCTTCCATGATTAGTTGCAGGAAACAAACCACAGTATTATTAGTAGTACGTGTGACTCTGTCATTAATAGAAATACCTATTTTCTATTGTGCTACAATTATTGCAGAGATCTTGAAAATGGTTTAAACTCATTACTACTTTGAAATTACAAAAGTTTAGTTCTCATAGTAGATCTTATTATTTAATATGTTGGTAAAAAGGCACATATATGCTGCATCGAAATTTGTTTAAATTAAATGGTATGCAGGAGAGTATTCATAAATCTGTGCTCAAAATTTTTCTAGCATAATATGAGGCCCAGCACGTATGGTAGAGTAAGCAGGAATTTAAAACTCAGTTTAAAAAAAATTAATCTGAGTTAAGCTAATCCCAAAATACTTGTTAGTTGGTGTTATATAACAGTTTTGTCTAGATTTAGTTCCTTATACACATCCAAATGTGGATGGTTATTAAATTTATTTTATTTAATAAGTTTAAATAAAATAAAATCTTATTAAACATTAATATTTAAATTTACAATTTATTTTTTCATTTCTGCATTGTTTTTTATTAAATGAGTTTCATATCCAGTTTAAAAGGCAAATGTAAACATGCTTTCTTAAAGATGTATCATAAGCTGTTTTCTTTCAGTGAACTGAAGTGTTTGACAGAGAAGTAAATGTTAAAACCATGTTATCAGAGATGTTACTTTCAGCTTTGTACTTATTATGACAAGTTTACATATCAAGTTTTTTTGTATTTTTATTTTACTTGTATAAATTTATGGGGTACAAGTATAATTTTGTTTCATGGACATATAGAATAGTGGTGAAGTTAGGGCTTTTACTGTATCAATCACTGGAATAACATACTTTGTATACAATAAGTAATTTCTCATCCACCTCCCTCTCACTTCCCCCACCTTCTGAGTCTCTACTGTTTATCATTCTATACTCTGTCTATGGATCCACACTACTTAGCTCCCACTCTTAAGTGAGAACATGAGGTATTTGCCTTTCTGTGTCTGAGTTGTTTCACTTAAGATAATGGCCTCCAGTTCCATCCATGTTGCTGAAAAAGAGATGATTTCATTCTTTCTTATGGCTGAATAATATTCCATTGCATATATGCATACACACACACCATATTTTCTTTATCCAACCATCAGCTGATGAACACTTAGGTTGATTCTATATCTTTGCTATTGTGAATAGTGCTGTAAATAAACATACAAATGCAGGTATCTTTTTGATATAATGATTCCCTCTGGGTAGATATGCAGTAGTGGGATTGCTGGATCAAAGGGTAGTTCTATTTTCAGTTATTTGAGAAATCTCCATACTATTTTCTAGAGAGGTTTTAAAAATTTACATCCCGCCAAGAGTGCATAAGTGGTCCTTTTCTCTGCATCCTCAACAACATGTTATTTTTTGTAATAACAGCCATTCTGATTGGTGTAAGATAGTATCTCATTGTGGTTTCAATTTGCATTTCTATGATGATTAGTGATGACAAGCATTTTTTCACATGCTTGTTGGCCACTTGTATGACAGGATTATTTGGTTTTTTGCTGTTGAGCTGTTTGAGTTCCTTGTAAATTTGAGCTATCAGTCCCCTGTCAGATGTATAGTTTGCAAGTATTTTCTCCCATTCTGCAGGTTGTCTATTTACTCTGTTGATTATTTCTTTTGCTGTATAAAGGCTCTCTAGTTTAATTAAGTCCCATATGTCTATTTTTGTTTTTATTGCCTGTGCTTTTCAGGGCCTGGCCATGAATTCTTCATCTAGACCAATGTCCAGAAGAGTTTTCCCTAGGTTTTTTTTTTTTTTCTATTTTATAGTTTCAGTTCTTACATTTAAGTCTTTAATCCATCTTGAGTTGATTTTTGTACATGGCGAGAGACATGGGTCCAGTTTCATTCCTTCTGCACCTAGCTATCCAATTTTCCCAGCACCATTTATTGAAACTGGTGTCCTTTTCCCATTGTATGTTCCTGTCAGCTTTACCAAAAATCAGTTGGCTGTTAAGTATGTGGCTTTATTTCTGGGTTCTCTATTCTGTTCCACTGACATAAGTGTCTGTTTTTATACCAGTACCAGGCTGTTTTGGTTACTATAGCCTTACAGCGTAACTTGAAGGAGGTAAAAAATTTTTGATAACTCTGTTCTAATATAATAGGTTTTCTTTATACAGCTAAGCATTTAATTTTATGTCTGTAAAAACACTGTTCTAAGAAGGAGTCCACAGTCTTCATATTTCCCATGAAAGTCCATGCCACAAAAACGATTAGGAAGTCCCTACACTAGAATTCAGCAGTGCCTTGGGTTTCTGAAGGCAGTTATGGTTGGGGCTCTAAGGAAGGTAAGTGAGTCACAATTGTCAATGGCACATAGAGGAGTAGCCATAAAACTGTGCTCATAGGTAGAGAACTGACTCAAATTCTTTCTAAGATAATCTAAAAGCAAGCATATATGGTAGAATAAACAGGAAATTAAAACTCAGTTGAAAAAACTTAATGCAAATTAAGCTGACCCCAAATACTTGTGAGCTGGTGGCTATTTAACAGGTTTATTTTCTTTTTTAATAGAGATGGGATCTCATTATGTTGCCCAGGCTGGTCTTTAACTCCTGGACTCAAGCGATCCTCTCTCCTTGACCCCCCAAAGTGCTTGAGATTACAGGCATGTGTCACTGTACCCAGGCCTTATTTAACAGTTTTATCTAGATTTAGTTCCTTATGCTCATCTAAATGTGAATGGTTATTAAATTTATCTTATTTAAGTAACATTTTTTTTTGTTTTTTTGAGATGGAGTCTTACTCTGTCACCCAGGTTGGAGTGCAGTGGCGTGATCTCAGCTCACTGCAACATCCACCCCACTCCTCTCACCTGGGTTCGAGCAATTCTCTCATCCTAGCCTCCCAAGTAGCTGGGACTACAGATGCGTGCTACCACAACCAAGTAAGTTTTAGCACGTTTGGTAGAGATGGGGTTTCACCATGTTGCCCAGGCTGGTCTCGAACTCCTGAGTTCAAGTGATTTGCCTGACGTGGCCTCCCAAAGTTCTAGGATTATAGGCGTGAGCCACCATGCCTGGCCAAACGATTTAAATAAAATAAAAACTGATGTACGAATAAATTTAAATAAACATTTAAATATTATAAAATTTAAATGTTTATCAAACATTTAAATATAAATATTAAATATTATAAAATATTTATAATATTTAAATTTATAATTTAGAATTATCACCTAGTTTTTTAAAGGAGGGGATAAGGAAGATTCTTAGAGAAAAATAATATAGCAAAGGATGAAAAGATCGCTGAGATAAGTCTAAACATTTTTTTACCAAAACCCAAACCAACTTTAATATTAAAAATCAGAACAATAATGACTAGGCTTTGAGCTCCATGAGGGCATTTTCTTTATTTACCTTTATGGCTTCATTGCTGAACACAGCCCTGTTATCAGCATCAGGAGGTGTTTGTTAATGACTGAATTAACTGAGAAGGCAGATATTTGTTAACCTGAGACTCTATGTTTTGATTAGTTATCAGCTGGTGAAATAATGACTAGCATGATCTTCTCTACAAACTTTAATATTATGTAATACACACATATTTATTAAAGTAATTCACCTGAAATGTACCAAGTACTATCGGCAGAAATTGGATTAAATTACTGGTGTTTACTATTTTCAGTACATAGTCAGTGAGTGAGTGGATTTAGAGAAGGACAATATTTGAGCTGATTCACCAGTTAAGGCTTGAGCATCAACTATGCATCAGGAATGTGGCCAGTAGCTGACCAAACCACACATGAATGAGGGTAGTTAGCTCCTACCCTCCAGTGACTCAGAGTCTAGTGGGAGAGAAGAATCTATAAAGAGTTACAAAATAATATAATGAATGCTGTAAGAGCTGAATTTACAAGATTCTTTCTGTTTGATAGTGCTGGAGAAGGTTACCACAGAAGTGATGACTGTGCTGCCTTGAAAGAGAAGCAGGCATTTTCAAGGCCAGGGGAAGAGCTTCCACCAAGAAGCAGCAATGTGAACAAAGGCTAGGCAGCAGGGAGACTGAGAGAACGTGCGTTGTTTGAGGCCTCAACATTTTTACCATAAATAAGGCAAATGCAGTCACATTTTACAGAAAGAATGCATTTCTAAAGATCTCACATAGTTCAAGATTAACTTTTCTGTTCTTTTTCTTTCTTTCTTTTTTTTTTTTTTTTTGAGACATTTTCACTCTTGTTGCCCAGGCTGGAGTGCAGTGGTGTAATCTCAGCTCACTGCAACCTCCGCCTCCCGGGTTCAAGTGATTCTCCTGCCTTAGCCTCCTGAGTAGCTGGGATTACAGTCATGCGCCACCGCAACCAACTAATTTTGTATTTTTAGTAGAGACGGGGTTTCTCCATGGCTGGTCTTGAACTCCTGACCTCAGGTGATCTGCCTGCTTCGGCCTCCCAAAGTGCTGGGATTACAGGGGTGAGTCACCACGCCCAGACTAATTTTGTATTTTTTCAGTAATAAGGGGGGTGTTTCTCTATATTGGTCAGGCTGGTCTCGAACTCCTGACCTCAGGCGATCTCCCCGCCTTGGCCTCCCAAAGTGTTGGGATTACAGGCGTGAGCCACTGTGCCTGGCCAAGGTTAACTTTTCTTTGGGAAAAACGTAAAAGTATGAGAGGAGGTATTCTTAGAGTACATAAATCTACAAGAACCAAAGCATATTCTTTCTTTTTTTTTTTTCAACTTTCTCAGCATTATTACTAGTGTTTTGTAGCCTGCTGTCTCCACACAGCCTGTCATGGTGGTACTTTGGCCTTTTAAATATTGTTTTCTTGCATGTAACCTTTGTTTCAACATATTTATTTGGAGTTTTTTTGTTTTTTGTTTTTTTCACAACAGTAACAAGACATCCCTTAGCACTTGGATAACATTATCATATATAAAATTATTTAAAATTATGTGAAAAAATAGCACAATAATAACCTGTATGTCTGAAGAACTTCTGAGTTATTTAAAGTCTAATTTACATAATACTGACATGGAAGCAGATAATTCTACCAGGTATAAGAGACACTTGCATGTGGCAATAGTGTTAACAGTTTATAACTCATTTGACCTACCAGCTTGGAAATTATGTCATTCTAGATAAACTGTTTGGAAGAGTTAACATTATTTCCATTTTGCCCACATAAACTATAATTTTTATATTTTTGCCTAATTCAATTCACATAAAATGCAACTTGCAGTATAGTTTGATGAAAGCTTGGAAAGAAGGGTCAGACTACAAAGGCCTTGTGTAAGCAGGCTAAAGAGTTTGAACTGTTTTTTCTTGAAAAAAAAAATGCTGACTTAAATAGGAGAAAGATATGGTCAAATTTGTGTTCTAAAAAGCTCACTCTAGAAGCAACATAAAGAATGGATCTGGGTGGGCCGTGAGCAGTGGCTCATGCCTGTAATCCCAGCATTTTGGGAGGCTGAGGTGGGTGGATCGCTTGAGGTCAGGAGTTCGAGACTAGCCTGACAAACATGGTGAAACCCTGTCTCTACTAAAAATACAAAATTAGCAGGGTGTGGTGGCACATACCTGTAGTCCCAGCTACTTGGGAGGGTGAATTGATGGAACCCAGGAGGGTGCGGTTGCAGTGAGCTGAGATCACACCATTGCACTTCAACCTGGGCAGCAAGAGCGAAACTCTGTGTCAACACCACCACCACCACCACCACCAAGAACAAGATAATGGATCTGATTGAACAAGACTGGACAGAGCTCAGACAACAACTACAGAAGCAATGTTAACAATTAAGAGTTGATGAGGCTATAAACTAAGGTAGTGAATTCAAGAGATACTAAACAGCAGGATTTTTCAGCTGATCTGTTGTGGGTCAAATGGAAGAAGAAGGAACTGAGGATGACTTCGTAGTTTCTGGCTTGGGCAATTTGTTGAGTGGTTACCTCATTCATTAAGAAAAAAAGAATGAAAATACAGCTCAAGTGGAAAATAATTAGTTCAGTTTTGTAAATCTGAGATTTGTCACGGAAGTCAAAAGAGAAAGGGTTTCAGGAGGAGCTGCTGGAAATCAGAAACTGTAGAGCTTCTAATTTACATATAAGCTTAAACTTGTTCATTGAATTTGGCAATTAGGAAGTTTTGGGTAACTGTAGAACAGTTTGGGTAAAGTGGAGGCAGCAGATGGTAGATGGACAAATATCTAGGACAGAATGGGAGGGGGAGAAGTAAGGACGGTGACTACAAACTATTCTTTTAGGAAGTCTGGCTACCAAGTAAAGAGTTAGGGTAGTAGTTACTGGTGGCGGGGAAAGTTATATACAATGCACAAATTTTAATTTGGCTCCAGATACATAGTTCCAGCGGTAAGAGATATAATAAATTACTTTTCAAAACATGTCCTAGTTACCTGCCCAAAATTGAAACCTGGGAGTCATTCTTAACTCCTTTGTCTAATCTTTCCCTTGTCTGATAAATACTGTAGATTCTAACTCAGAAATGTCTCCAGAATTTAGTATCTCCTCTCCGTCTCCAACAGCACTGTCTTAAATCAAGCCCTCATCACCCCTGGCATCTTCTATATTAATACTCTTATACTTGGTTGTCTTGCTTCCAGACTCTTCTCCATTGTTGCCAGAGTTATTCTCTCTGCCAGGCCAGAACTTCCCCTTCCCCTGCTTTTTTTTTTCCTGCCTGCAAACCCTGCCTCATCTCTCATCCCATAACTTCCAGCTTTAATAGTTCCTCTAGGAAAACTTCTCTGCTCTTTCATTCCTAGCTAATTATTCTCTCCTCAGAGTCCCACCTCACTCAAACCTGTTCATGCTTCTTAAATAGCTCTTACTACCCTGAATGGAGATTACTTTGAATAAAAATAGGTCTGTTCAGCTTCCATCTGAGTTTTAAGACAATGAGTTGTCTTTTTCTCCCCCTGAATCTTCAACACCTGGAAAGAGCTTACCACATAGTAAGAACTCAATAAATGTTCTATGAATAAAAGTTTGCTATGATAAACCTTGTTGCCATGACAATGGTGTAGAAAGGGATGTGTAGAATATATATATCTTTTCTATCTTAAACTTTCCCTCCACCTGAAAACCAATGAGAAGGAGGAAGAACAGGAGGGAAGCCTGAAAACAGATTTTTAAAAATAGAATACTTTTTCTAGTGTCTTCTCCATTTTTCCCTAGTAGTTTCTTTTTTATTTCATGTGTTGATTTTGAATTCTTCATTCTTATTTTCTTACAATTCTTCCTGTTAGTTCTCAATACAGCTATGACCGATTACAAGTGGTGTGTTCTCAACTCCATTCTTCCTCTCCTCAATTTTCCTCTTCCTTTCTCATCCATGTTTCTTTGCTTTAACTCTAATCCATGAAAATTATAGTATCCATTGGATAAAAATGCTTTGACTATTTCATCTAAAGTTCTCAGACTATTGACTTTTTTTTTTTTTTTTAAGAGTTATAAACCACCTCAGAAAGATCCTCCCAGGAGCAAGCAGTGAAAATTTGTTCTTTAAAACACAAAAAAATTTTTAGTTATGCAATACTTTGACAACTAGTCAGAGGCTAGTGAATGGTAGAATTTCATGATGGAAATGAGGACACATGAGTTCCAGTTTTGTCTGGGGCAAGTCACTTAATTTTAAGGGTCTCAGTTTTCTCATTTGGACAAGGAAGTTGGATAGTCAATCTTTAAGGTCTGTTCCAGCTTTACCAACCTGAAATTCTAGACTCCAGTTAAAGCTGTAAGGAGAGAACCACTGATATGTGGCAAACGGCCTAGTAACCACTTCTTCATAATTCTAAGACAATACATATTTATGGCATGTTTATCATACAACCAGCATTGTTAAGCCACTAAGAGTTTAAAAACATACTATTAGGCTGGGCACGGTGGCTTACGCCTGTAATCCCGGCACTTTGGGAGGCCAAGGCAGCTGGATCACTTGAGGTCGGGTGTTCGAGACCAGCCTGGCCAACAGGGTGAAACCCTGTCTTTACTAAAAATACAAAAATTAGCCAGGCATGGTGGCATGTGCCTTGTAGCCCAGCTACTTGGGATGCTGAGGCAGGATAACTGAATGAATCCATGAGGCGGAGGTTGCAGTGAGCTGAGTTTGTGCCACTGCATTCCAGCCTCGATGACAGAGCAGGGCTCCGTCTCAAATGACAACAACAACAACAACAAACATACTACTAGATTAAAAGTTAAAATGCCTTGAACTTGAAAAGCAACTATGATTATGTTTATCCTTGCTGTGGAATTCCAATCCTGTCGAATAGGTATAGGAGGAAATGAGGGAGCATGCTACATAACTAATTCCCTGAGATCAGGCAGGTAGTCGTCTTGACAGCAACAAGATCAAAACCTAACTTTTCAGTTCTATAAATCATTTTGTCCTTGAACATTTTGTCATCTTATTATGAATGCGTGTATGTGAGTGTGGAAGAGGTGAGAGTAGAAGAAAACTTAAAAAATAACTTTTTAAGTTTTTGATTTTGAGTCTGTAGACTCAAAGCAAAAAATCAAAATGGAACTGATGTAGTTTAAATGGCCTAGTTTGAAAAGGAGAATTGAATTGAATCTCAAAGAATGCTTAAAGATTTGAATAGATAGAGAAGGGAAGGAAATGGACCAGCATTTATGTGATAATCAAAACAAGGTTGTGGTGGGGGTGAACTGAATAGAGTGATTTTTTTTCTTTTCTTTTCTTTTGAGATGTGGTATTGCTCTGTCACCCAGGCTGGAGTGCAGTGACACAGCGAACATGGCTCACTGTAGCCTTGACCTCCTGGGCTCAAGTGATCCTCTTGCCTCTAGTTGGGACTACAGGCACATACTACTAAGTCTGGTTAATTTTTGTATTTTTTTGTAGAGACAGGGTGTTTGCCATCGTTGCCCAGGCTGGTCTTGAACTCCTGAGCTGAAGCAATCCACCTGCCTTGGCCTTCCAAAGTGCTGGTATTACAGGTGTGAGCCACTGCCCCCAGCCTGTGATTTCTGGATTGCACTGGAACAGTCCTGCTGTTTTGCAGTGAACACAAGGTAAAGTGGGATTAGATTTTGGAGGGCTTTGGAAATCAGGTAGAAGAGTAAATTTAATCTCATAGGCAATAGGAAAACATTGCAGACAAAAGTTATTTTGAAGGAACTTTTTTTTTTTTTTTTTTTTTTTTGAGAAAGTCTCACTCTGTTTAGTGACTGAACTCACCACAGATTTGAGTATCCTGGACTCAAGCAATCCTCAGAATCCTGAGTAGTTCTACAGGCATGCACCAACATACCCAGGTAATTTTTAATTAGTTTGTAGAGACTATGTTGCCCTGGCTGGTCTCAAATTCCTGGGCTCAGGCCTGCCTGAGATTCTGGGCAGAAGCTACTGACCTCGGGTGAAAGAAGATTTAACAGAACTCAAAGTAGCTGAATATAGGCAAAAAGAGGAATTTCAGGTGTCCTAAAATTTAGGGGGTCCTAATTTTTGTTATTCAACTTCAAACAGAGATATTTATTCAGCCTTTCCCTTAACTGTGAAACAAAATTATCCCAGGGAATGCTATATTATCCAATTGTAGCCCAGTCCAAAGGTGTGGCAGATTTCACAAGATGACTACCCATGGGCAAATTTTTTGTTTGCCTTTAATGTAATTGATTCTGTCTTGAGATTCCCTTTAAAGAGAAGCCTATTTATTTTACCACTCTAAAGCAGCGATTCTCAGGGAGTTCCTAAAGTGAAAGCTATTTCTAATAATTCTAAGACGTAATTTGTCTTTTTCACTCATTCTCTCATGAGCGAACAACAGAGTTTACCAGAGGCTACATTCTGTGCAATATTGCAATAGTCTGAATGCAAAGCAAATGAGAATCCAGCGGCTCTATATGGCTTCTATTAAACCAGTTAAAACACTTGTAAAAATAAAAAAGCGTCACTCTTTATGCTTTTTTGTTGTGGTTAAAAAAGTACATAGTTATCTTTAAATAAAAATGTTACTTATGCTAACATGTGATGTGCTTAGTGTAAAGGGATCATGAGAGCAAAAAGTTTGAGAACCTCTCCTCTAAAGTGATCCTCTCCCATATTTGATAAAAGAAAAAAATTCACTCTGACTTTGCTTATATTTCTTATGTTGATACTGATTGCTCATCATAGTGATGCTAGATAGTTTATATTCCTCTCAATTGTTTTTCTAGCTTATTTACCTCTAATTGCCATGGCTGACTTTCCAAATAAAGAAGAATGACATTTCTTACCTGTGACAGTTTCTTGCTAGAGAAAGCAATCTGGAAGGTCCGAGGTCCCTTTCCTCTTCCCGAGGCTGTGTAACAGACTGTAGCAGGTGGCAGCCGCTTTAGCAGCCAGAGTTGGCAGCTAGGAGGGCAAAACGCACTGGGAGACAACTCCTTGCTGCCTGTCCAGGGAGTCACCAGGGGAGCAAAGGGCTCAGCAGGCTCGGGAGAGAATGAGGAAGAAGGTGGAGGGAGGAGACTGCTGCCGGCACTCCTTGTTCCCGCCTTCAAACAGGCTCTTTCTTAGGGCAATAGAAGTTGAAATAAAGTGGCAGAGGATACGAGTATTTCTTTTAATGTAATATCACTATTTTCATGAAATCTTTTCTTCTGTAAAATTTGGGCCTCTGCGCCTTCCAAAACCTGTACCTCTTTCTGAAGTACACACAAACACTTTAAGAAAGCACCTCCTTAGTCCATTAGAAGCATCTTCTTTTCTCATCTGTCTCTCTTCATTTTCAGACTTCCTGGTCACACTTCAGCACAAAACTTTTTCTTATTTTACAATGCGGAATAATCAGTCCTATTGGGGTAATTCCTACAATGTTACAACACTTAAAATATTTCTAAAACATAACATTTTAAAAGAAGGAACATTTTGCAAAATATTTTCTTTTACTTTATAACCTCATTCCGGACTTCCCCTTCCTCCCAACCTCAATATGGTGTCAAAGGATAGTTGATACAGGCCATTAAGATTTACTTTTCAGTGGAAAAGGAGTCCATTTTCATAAAACTTCTTTATCTGCTATATCAGATGCAAGCCACATGGATACCATCATTAGAATTTTATTTAATAATTTTTAAATTTTCTGCAACAGAAAGTAAGCTTGGGGAGAGGGATACCAAAATTCAGATGAGAGGGCAAACTTGCAGTTTTTAGTGTTAAAACTTTCTATTCCTGAAATGATAGCAAAGACTGACTTAAAATATTCAAAATACAATTTAAGGATACATATTTTTAGGGCTTATGTTCAACATGTTAAAAAATAGTCTTACAAAATGTAACTTTTAAAGAGCAGAGTGTAAATATCACAGTCTTGAAAATAATTAGTGGAAACAAAATTTCTTAGCCATTTTTTTTCTTGAACATGTGCTAAACTGTATCACTTTGCTAGGAAGGGAATTAGCAAGGTGGCGTTTTGTTTTTGTGTTTTGCCAGTACAGAGATGGTATAAAAACAGAGGGGTTCCTAGAGTCAGGGAACAAAATGCTTACATAAACACTACTTTTTGTTGACTTGTTTGTTTTAAAAACAAGATAGGGTTTTCATTTCAGGAAGTCATAAAAACATCATGTCCTTCAGCAGTGATTACAAAGGAAGTCTGTGGCAGGGTGACTGGAAATGCTTGGTGTGGTGACTATCAGAAGAAAAAAAAAATAGTACATTTAAGAAATATATGAAAAGAATACATACGTGACTCAAGTTGAAATAGTAAGTTTTCACCTTCCAACTGTAGAGTCCAGTTGGGCCAATTAACATGAAAGCATGAAGTGGGATCAAGTAGTGATCAGAAGCAGAGCACTAAGCAAGCTCTAATTTTAAATATTCCATTGCCAGTGAATTTTCTCCAGCTGTAAAGATGCAGAATGTACAATTTACACATTTTGAAGTTTTGGGACAAACACTTTTTTCTTTGATATAGAGCAATCCAAATGTCTCAGTGTTCTTTGTACTTCATACAGTTGTTTTCAAAGATTAAATGAGATAATGATGACAGTGCTTTGAATATTTTAAAGCTCTAGATAATATCTATATAATCTCACTTATTCCTACACATTTAGCTTATACAATGGAGGTAAGATTTAAAAAATGAAATAAAATGTCCACGGTGTTCTCTTAATCTGATGAAAGCATTTACGCATTAGGTGGAATCATTTTTCCTGGAAATATTTTAAGAATAGGATGGACAGCCACCTGTTTGGATATCATACAATGTGAAGGCTGTGAGATGAATTACATGAGTATTTCCCAGACCCTTGGATTTAATGAACAATTAAAAATAATAACAGCAATCATGATAATAAGGAGGAAGAGATAAACATGGTGGACAACTCTACATTTTACCAAGTAAGGACCCTAAAAACGTAAGAATTTTTAAACTTTTTATTTCATAAAACTTATCTCATCTGTGCCCCCAAAATTAGGAAGGGCATGGTATCAGAATAAAGGACAGTCCTTTACTGTGAATATATTTGACTTGATGAAAAGTTTATACTGCTCAAGAGTCTGAAACAATAAAGATAAAAATTAAGGAAAACTAAAACTTCATTCCTTTTCCCTTCATTTTACCACAGAGGGTAAAAATTCAACACAGATTGCTATTGTTCTGGGACACTGTTTGAGACTCCTTACTTCGCCATAGTTATCTAATCTAGTATTTAGTTACGTGGCCTATATTTCACAATATTAGCAACTCAGATTAAACACATTGAGCGCTTATTTTCTAGGAACTTATTTAAAACAACTGGCTTCTTCACGAACAGCAAATAAATATACACACACAGAATACTTCCAAGGCTTGATGATAACTAACATTTAATTAAGCAAAATGAAAAAAAAAATACCATTAGTAATGTATGGAAGTGTTAAATATAGTTCTCTAAGATATAAGATTTTGTACCTGGAGCTTACGGGTGTTACTGACCTTTGTGTTATGAGGTAATTTGCTTTGTTTTTTTCTTCCACATCCACTAAGTAGGCATAAGCTTGGAATGTATTTCTTTGAAATTGCAGGTCAAAGCCTCCACATTAAAGAACCTGATGAGGCAAAGCTACAGTTTTGTGAGCCATGTGTGTCATGCAATAGTTTTTGATAGCTGCTGCCAATTAAATTGACTAAACTTATTGACAGACCCAGGGAAGAATTTTCTAAGAAGGTGAGGTTCTGAAAGTTTGGTTGCACCAAAAAGGAAGAGGGGCAGTAACTGAGGCTCTGGATCTAAAAGCCTTGCTTGTGGGCCAGGGGAACACATGATTAAAGCCTTCCTGCCAACAGAGCATCTGCAAACAAACCAAGTAAATTTTACTCGAAAAGAGGCCGTCGATTTTGTGTTCCCTTGCTGAGATTCTAAGCCGCTGGGGCACACCCGGCCTTGCTTTGGCAAGTCTTCCTTGTTCTTTCTTGACCAGTTTCCGACTTTTTTCCTGATTGAAATACAGACAGGGTGGCAGGGAGAGATTTTTGTTTCACGACTACTCCAAGTTGAGGGGAAAGAGCGGGAGAAAACCGGAAAAAAGCTGGCCTTCCGTGGGGCCAGGCTCTGGGAGGCTGCCGTGGGGAAGGGGGCGGGGGCGGGGGGGCTGTCACGTGACTCGCGCGAGGGCTGCTGGGAGTGCGGCGCGCTTTCCACCTCCACCCGCGAAGTCTGGGCAACCCGCGCCCAGCGTCCTCACTCCCTCGCGTTCGCTGACGAGGAAGGTGCCCATACCGCGAAGTACATTGGCCTTGGGGTGGGGCTGGAGGGATGGGCGCCTGTGAGAATGTGACGGAGTGTGACACGAGGAAGGGCGCGAGGATGGAAGCTTCCTCTGAGGGGCTCTAGTGGGGCGGAAGCAACAGTACGGAGGAAGTGGGGAGGGGCGGCGGGAAGTGAGGAATATGGAGGTGAAATGGACTGAGGGGCCAGGTTGGCGTTGAGAAGAGGGAGAAGACTAGAAGGAGACAGCTGCATGAGGCAGAGGGTGACAGTGCTTAGTAACAGCCAGGTCACTAAGCCTAAGATGGCAGAGCCGGGGGCAGTGGCCAGTGTTTGGCATACGACGAAGACCAAACAGTCCACCAGGCCTGGATCTGCTGAGGCCTTCAGCTATGACAGAAAAACGAACTTATTTTTGCAGAAACAGTTACTTGATTATAAGTTTTCATTTGACGTAGGTGCGCAGTGTTACTTTGGGAGAGAAGAGAAGGGGGTGAAGGGGAAAGGGATTAGAAGTGGAAGGGAGGAGAGAAAAATCCGCCTGTTGGCTTAAGTATTTTCCAACTCCCAAGGCAAAGTTAGCACTGCCGTGCGTGTGTAGTATTTTCTAGATACTATTAATATTATTACAGCACGTAAACTTGCATACTATAAAGGTACTGGCAGGAATGGAGACGTACAATACAGAATTTACTTAACAAGCATCTTTCTAATTTGTTGTTGCTCTTTCTGTCTTCTATATATGCATATTTTATAGGACTAATCAAACAGATGCATTACAGTTACCCAAGTCAGCATCGTTTCTCAAAAAACAAAGTCTGTTCATAACTTGAAAGTGGATAGGGCTCCCCTTATCTCAAAGACAGAGACTATACCCTTCCAGATTTCAACATTTGGACTTCTAGGGAAAATGCCTTCCGAATTTATGGAAAAGTAAAAGTAAAATTTGAAGCTACTTTAAAGTAAGGTTGGACAGTGGGAATAGTCTCAGGCTCGAAGAGTGAGATCTCGGTTCTAGTCTAGTTCAGTCTTACTGGTGTCACTTGATCCACCATCACTGTCCCTGTTTCCTCACTTGTAAAAAGTGAGATTGAATTAGATGAACTGTAAGACCTGTTTCAACATTAAGATTTTGTGAAGATAGAAGAATCTTTTTGTTTTTTTTTTTTGAGGTGGAGTCTTGCTCTGTTGCCCAGGCTGGAGTGCAGTGGCGCAATCTCGGCTCACTGCAACCTCCCTCCCCAGGGTTCAAGCAATTCTCTCCCCTCAGCTTCCCAAGTAGCTGGGATTACAGGCGCCTGCCACCATGCCCGGCTAATGTTTGAATTTTTAGTAGACATGGGGTTTCACCATGCTGGCCACGGTGGTCTCGAGCTCCCAACCTCAGGTGATTTTCCCACCTCAGCCTCCCAAAGTGCTGGGATTACAGGCATGAGCCACTGTGCCGGGCCGAACATAGAAGAATATTAACTGAGCCAGTCCTGAAACAAGGCAGAATTGCCAGAAAGACTCATTTGGCTAAGTACATAGAGAGGAGTAGTTGAAAATGATGGAACTAGTAGGCTGGCACCAGATAATACAGGACCTTGAAGGCCATATCATGGAATTTCAATTTATTCTGGAACAATGAAAGTTTTTGAGTTAAAGAAATGCAGTAATCAAAGTTTTGAAAGATTACCCAAATAGCAGTTGTTAGAATGATTTGGAGGAGGGAGAAATTGAGTTTAGGAAAGTGACAGATAATGACAGTCTAAATTAACATTAGCAGTAGGAGTGGGAAAAAGGGAAGGATTCCAGAGATCTTGTAGCGTGGAGTTTGTACCTAAATCTGGCATTGTTCTAAGCTTTATAGCTGGTGCCTTCGGAATATGATGGCAAATCACCTTGTAAAGCCTGACAATAGAAATTGCAAGAGGCCAAGAGAATTGGAGGTAAGCTCTATGCCTGTGTAGCCTTAATCTTTTATTCTGTTTTACATACTTCTCAAATTTCTTCCCTTTAAGAAAGCTCTATAGATAAGTGGAATTTAATGTATTCGTATGCCCAGAGCTAGGATTGTCCTACAACATAGCAGGAACTATGTTGATTCCAGCTGGTTTTTCACTAAGTATAGGCCTCCAAGAAACTATTGGGAGATTTCTTTTTGATAGCTTGAGATCTAGAGACAGAAGTGAGTCTGTGCCTTTATGATACATAGGATTTTATGTAATTATTTTGCTATGATAAGTAAGATACCTAGGTACTATAGTTACCGGTCTTTTTAAAGAGCACAGTATCCTATCCTTTACCAGTCCTGCCCCCACCAATTGATCTGTTGCATTTGGGACATGATTTGCTCCCTTGAAGATTATATTATTTTGCAAAATTTCGCAAGCATTTGGCTACTGTCTAAATTACAGTTTAGCTTCATTGCTATGAAAACATCTACTGGTTCAAGATACCAGACGCTTTTTCAACAGGAGTTTAAAACCACATTTAAAAT